CCGTGCAGGCGGTGGAGAGGAAGGTGGACTCCCATTCCACCCGCCTGCTCGACCTGGAGGGGCGGACGGGGATGGCGGAGAAGAAGCTGATCGACTGCGAGAAGACGGCGGCGGAGCTGGGGAACCAGCTGGAGAGCAAGTGTGCGGCGCTGGGCACCCTCATCCAGGAGTACGGGCTGCTCCAGCGGCGCCTGGAGAACATGGAGAACCTGCTGAAGAACAGGAACTTCTGGATCCTGCGGCTGCCCCCGGGGGGGAGAGGCGGTGGGAGAGCGGGGACGGCCCTGGCGCAGGTGAGTCGCTCGCCGTCGGGACCTGGCGAGAGCAGAGCTGCCCCTCGCACCTTCCCGGCGCCTCCCTGGCCGTGGCCCGCCTGCGGTGGGAGACGGCCCCGAGGGCAGCGGCCCCCCATACTCCGGCCGGAGGTTTCAGTTCTGCTTCGCCACGCTGGGCAGCCTGGGTGCGAGTTGCTCTTTTTTTTTTTTTCTTTTTTTTGACCACTGTTTGAGAGAAACCCCGCAGATTTGGTGGTTCTTTTTTTTCACCACCATTTCTTTTACCACCTTGGCGCTGCGGTGGGGGTCTCCCGGGCCGGGGAAGGAGCATGCGGGAGCCGCTGCTGCGAGGAAGGGGGAACCTCTGGGATTCGGGGGAAGGCAGGCGAGCTCCCTGCGCTCACAGCTGGCCTTAGCCGAGCATCCGAAGGAGCCCACCATCAACACTAATTCCTCCTTCCGTTTCACGACCCTCTCGCTAAAAGAAAGTTTGCGGGTGGGACCGCGTGAGCCACGGCAAAGTGAAAGCCGCCGCTTTGCCGGAGACAGCGGCGCGGGTCTGGAAGAGCGGGCTTCGCACCCTGACACCCCGTTAGCGCAGTCGGGGAGCAGAAGCCGAACACAGCCCGGCTCGCGCATCCTGAATTTATCCTGAGAAATTATTACTCAGCAGACAGGCTTAAAAGCGCAGCCTGCTCCCGGCCAACTTGCACGCAATAACTAACGATAACTGGGAGCCCTTCGGGCCCCGGTAGTTTTCCCTCGAGTTCGGGGGTAATTGAATCTGGGGTTTTACGTCAGCTCATCAATAGAGATGAGGTCTGGCCCTTGCGCCCGATTTTTATCTCCTTGATGCTGCCTCCAGGCGGGCACAAGCCCGGTCTCCTCTGGAGAGTCGTCCCCGCCGGCACAGGGACCAAGAGGAGGAGGTCGGTGTCGTTTGGGGACATCACGCTCTGGGTTCATCACCGGGAACGGGCTGTTTGGCTGAGACTTTTAATCTCATAGAAATACCTGCCCAGGAGTTGGTTTAGATATAAAAACCCACTTGTTGATGGCCGTGAAGTAGCTGAAGCCTCGCCGTGTGCGAGTGGGAGCGAGCTGCCGCTGCCGGCAGCCAGAGATAACGCGCCGGGCTCCTGGGGAGCGAGGCGGCCGCCTGAACCCGAGCTGCTTGTGGTTGCAGGTGCCGGTGACGTTTGACGACGTGTCCGTCTACTTCAACAACAAGGAATGGGAGAAGCTGGAGGAGTGGCAGAAGGAGCTGTACAAGAACGTGATGAAGGGGAACTATGAGTCGCTGATCTCCCTGGGTAAATACGGGGTGTCCTCACTCCGGTGAAAGGCAGGTTCCCTGGGGCTCCTGGCTGCCCGCAGGCCTGGGCGTCTTCTGAGTCCTCCTGGAGGACCAGCAGCTTCCCCGTGGCTGTTGGAGGGGCTTCCCTTCCTCTTCTGGGTCGGCAGCGGGTACCAGCCCATGCACCCCTTCAGAGGACGCTTTTGCAGAGTGAAAAGTTGTCCGATGCAGTCTTAGCTACGCTCCTTTGGGGCATTTCCTACTGAAGCTGCAGGAGAAATTCTGGCTCTGCTGGGGCCAGAGGTGAAACGCTTTTGGCTTCAGGAGAGCCAGGAGTTTGCCTGAGAAGTTCTAAAACCCTGCCAGAAAAACGTACGGGTTGGGTTTCTTCTCGAAGGCAGTTCCTCTGTGTGTGTGGCACCTCAGCCTCTGCCTCCGTGAATCTCTTCTGCCCGTCCAGGGAGCCTGGCCTGCCTGCAGCACCAGGCTTTTCTGCCTGCAGACCCTTTGTGGATGCTCCTGAGTGTCTTCACGTGTCCCCGCGGGTGCTGGGGAGAGGTGGAAGCCGCTATTAGGATTGCCTGTGCAGTAATCCCTTCCTCCATCCCTCTGTCTCTCAACAGACTATGCAATTTCCAAACCTGGTGTTTTGTCTCAGATCGAGCAAGGAGAGGAATCACGGGTCAGGAATGAGCAGGACTTGGAGGAGAGCGAGATCATTACCGATGCCACCGCAGGTGAGACGGCAGCTTCGCGCGAGGGGAGCCCTAGGTTGCCTTCAGAGGAGCTGCTCGCCCCGAGGCTAAAGCGAGTGTTGCTGAGAGCCGTGCCCGAGGAGGTTATGGGGAGGAGCCTTGCGTACGAGCGGGAAAGGTTTGACTGATGAGAGATTTGATGTCCAGGTACGGCTCAACGTACAAACCAGGGCAAGCGGAGCCCGGAGAGTTGGGCACTAGGAGCTGTCAGCAAGGGAAACATCTGCAACCAGCTCAGCTCCTCAGGGAGCCGGCGTGCCCAGCAAGAAAGGAGAATCGGGTCCCATTGGGAAACCCCATCCACCCGAGGGAGCCGCAGCCTTCCCAAAAAATCTTCTCCACCCTCTCTGGTTGTGGGGATGGTGCCTGGGTTCATCCTTGGAGCAGCCCCCCGGGGCAGGGAAGCCTGCCCCATCCTGCACGCAGGGACCCGGGGTGCTGAGGCGTTTCTCCAAGGGCAGGGCTGGGCTGGGAGCAGGGCACCAGGGACCCCGAGTCCCGGCGCAACTCCCACTCGGAGATAAGGGGGGGAGATAAGGAGGTGTCCTAGAAGAGATGGTGCCAGCGCTGCTGCTGGTCTCTGGTCCTGGGCTGCGGATGTGGGGTCGCTCCGACCCCCTGCCCATGCTCTTGGTCACGAGGATCTTGAAGTTAAATTGAGGCCAACGGGAAGAGAAAAATCATCAGCTGCCCGCAGGGAGCTGCTGGCTCAGTGCTGCAGCCAGGGAATGTGGGGTGGCAGAGGGGTGCTGAGCTGCAGGCGCCAAGCCCCCAGGCTGGGCGGAGGGAGTCCCCTGTGCCTGCAGAGGATCCCAGGCGAGAGGCGGGAGCGTGGCGGGGATGGTTGAAGGGCAGGGGCTGAAGGGAGAGCAGAAGAGGCCGAGCGAACGAAACTCCTCTGCAGGATCAGAGCTGGTCCGCGGGGAGCCGGCAGGGATTGTTGCGAGCGGTTTCTTCATCCTGGCTCCCGGGAATGACGGCGAGCGGGAATCTCTCTTTGCTGCAGCTGGTATAAGGGTTGTGATCAAAACGGAGGAGCTCCTTCCTGAAGACAGCCCCGAAAACCCTGAGCTGCACGGGATGTCGGGGCAGTCGGAGGGGAGCTTCCAGAGTCCAGACGAGGAGGCAGCCTGCGAGAGCCCCTACGGTTCCGTCTCCCCTCCGAGGGACCTCCCAGGAACCAGCCTGGGTGACTCGTCCGAATACGTAGCTGACTTCAACGAGATCCAGAGGGTCATCGTTCACCACGGGAGCTGCACAGGTGAGATGCTTGGCACGCAGCTCTGCGGCACGTGGCACATCGCAGGGCTGGAGGCCCAGGAGAGGCTGTGGGAGGTCAGGCAAGGGTGGGGAAAGGGTTGGATGAAAGAGGAGGGGTAAATCCCCCCAGAACCAGCACCAGAAGGAAAGTTTTTGGCTGCCGCCACCCCAAGAGCAGCTGCGGTGAGACCTCAGGCCGAGAGGAAGAGGCAGCCCATACGTGGTGGACATCAGAGCGTGGACGCTGAGGGCACCTGCCCTGTTCCAGAGCGGAGCGAGCAGCGGCTCAGTCCTCCGTGGGTGGGAAAAGCCCTTGTTACACACAGGGACCAAGGGAAGCCGTGTCCCAGACAGCGCTTTATGAGAGCCCCAGTGAGCTCCTGCTGCCAAAATCCCGCCGTTGCAGAGGGCAGAACGGTGGTCGAGGACTCCTGCCCCGGTGTTAGTCGTGCGGAGGAACGGTGTAAGCTGCTCGGGTGCTTACACACCAGACTTTGCTGGAGGAACGTTGCGGGGTCCTGCACATCGACCAGCGTGGGGGTCGCTCAGGGCAGGTCTGGAGGATGGGGACAAGGGTGGCCAGGGGTCCGTGATGTGAGCTGCTGAGAGGGAAGGGTGCGGTGAGGTTAGTGGAGAGACGAGAAGATGGCACTGGGTGCTTCATGTGTAGAAGTCCACCGGCTGAGCGGCAGATACAGTCCAGGTCCTACAGACGTGCTTTGAGGGCGAGAGATGGGAGAGCGGGGAGATGGGCTGTTGGGAACGGTGGGTTTCCTGCCTTCTGACGGCTTTGCAATGGTGTAACGCCAACCAAGAAAGATAGAGTTGGGTTCTTGACGTCCACCTCAACTCCGTCTTGTGGATCCTGTGGCCTCACGGTTTTCTAAAGGAAACCAGTTAAGTCGCCAGTGGGGCTGGAGCCGATCCTCATCCGAGAGCCAGCGCCTTGGCTGACGCGTGGGGCCCTGGCTGGTGGGGCTGAGCGGGAGCTGCGGCAACGCTCTGACCAGGGTGCGGGTGCCGGTGACCAGCGCTCGAGCAGCGACAGCCCCTGGCTCTGCATAGGAAAAGCTCCTTGCTGCGAGGAGGTGGGGAGGAGGACCTGGGAATGTGGGTTTTCCCCACTGACCCCTCCTTCCTAGAGGAGAGGGCCACAGCTTTGATAGATCCTGCGCCCATCGGCTGCCTCTTCTTGGGAAAGCGTGGCTGCTCTTCCTGGAAAAGCACATAGGCCTGGCTCAAAGTCCAGCGCGGGGTGACGTGCGAGGCATCCACCGTGGGTCTTTCCTCGGGGCACACTGGCTGCGTGTGTCCCCGATAGGGCAGGTGTCACCAAACAAAAACACCAGGTCACCTCTGGCGTCAGTGACGCAAGGCGGGAGCCGGACACACGGACGTCCGTCCCACCGCTGTTTGCCTCTGGGAAGGAGGGGGGTCTCTGCCCGCGCCCCGTCGCAGTGAGGCCGAAGGAAGGGGATGGTCCCAGGCTGGGCACGTCGTCTCGGCAGCCCCGTGCTGTGTTTCCGTCGAGCGGTGCCGTGCGGGGTGTGGGGAGCGTTGTTGTAGCCCAGCGAAACGGCAGCAGATGGAGCTGCTCTGAAATCGCTCTGCCGCCCGAGTCCTTGCAAACCGATGGTGCTGTTATCCCCCTGTCTCGCAGCATCATGAAATTGCAGAATCTTTTGGCAGGCGGGTCTCACTGCACCCTCCGAAGGAGCCTGTCCAGGGGGCAGTTTGTCTGTCCTGCCTGTCTGGGGGGCGCAGGCTCGCCTTGCTGCCGCGAGAGGACGTGCCCCGTCCCAGGGCGCGGGGCTCCGGGCTGGAGCCAGCTCACGTCTGGGCAGTCAGGCAGGGCAGGCAGGCGCAAACAGCTGCAGAAGCCTGTGCAGATGTTTCTGTAGCAGCCCCCAGGTGCATAAAAGGCCACCCCGTCCCACCCGATGACCCTAACGCTGTTCCGTTTTTTTCCCCGCAGAGGACGGGATCGTGATCAAGACAGAGGAGGAGGAGGAGGACGACCCCGACACCCTGGAGCCGTGCGCCATGTTCTCGGGCAGGACCGAGCCGCCGGCGTTCCCCAGCCACGAGGCCGGGCTGGGCTGCGAGGCGCAGTGCAGCTCCAAAACGCAGCCCAGGAGCCTGGCGGCCGCCCGTGTGGGGAAGCCCCCCGCCTGCGAGAGGGACTCCGGGGAGATGAAGCCGGCCACCGCCCAGCAGCGGAACCGGACGAGGGAGAGACCCTACATCTGCCCCGAGTGCGGGAAGAGCTTCATGCTCAAGATCAACTTCATGATCCACCAGCGCAACCACCTCAAGGAAGGGCCCTACGAGTGCCACGACTGCGACCTCAGCTTCCGCAACAAGCAGCAGTTCCTGCTGCACCAGCGCAGCCACACGCGCCGGGGCGTGGGGGTCCCCCGGCGCCCCGAGCACGGCCTCAAGCCCCAGGCGCGGCCCCCGCCCCCGGGGAAGCCCTACAAGTGCTCCGAGTGCGAGAGCAGCTTCAGCCACAAGTCGAGCCTCAGCAAACACCAGATCACCCACGTTGGGGAGCGGCCCTTCACCTGCGGCGAGTGCCGGAGGAGCTTCCGCTTGCAGATCAGCCTCATCATGCACCAGAGGATCCACGCCGGCAAGAGCGAGATGGCCTTCCTCTGCCCCCAGTGCGGGAAGAACTTCACCCGGCCCTCCCACCTCCTGCGGCACCAGCGGACTCACACCGGCGAGCGGCCCTACCAGTGCAGCCAGTGCGAGAAGACCTTCAGCGAGAAGTCCAAGCTCACCAACCATTACCGCATCCACACCCGGGAGCGCCCGCACGCCTGCGCCGTCTGCGGGAAGGGTTTCATTCGCAAGCACCACCTCCTGGAGCACCAGCGCATCCACACGGGCGAGCGGCCCTACCACTGCACCGAGTGCGGCAAGAACTTCACCCAGAAGCATCACCTCCTGGAGCACCAGCGGGCGCACACTGGCGAGCGGCCCTACCCCTGCACCGAGTGCACCAAGTGCTTCCGCTACAAGCAGTCCCTCAAGTACCACCTGAGGACGCACATGGGAGAGTGAGGGGCTGCCGACGGCTTCCTCTCCCTCCCCTCCCTCCCTCCATCCATCCCTCCAGCCCTCCTCCTCCTCCTCCTCCTCCTCCGCTCATCCGCCCTCCCTCCATCCCTCCCCCCCCCAGCTCAGGGCATGGACATCAAGGAAGCTTTGTGTGGTAGCGCCGCTGGTCTGGTGGAGATGGCTAGGCTGATTGGAAATAAATTAATTAATTAAAGCAAGCAATGCGCGGCAAAATTAAAAGATTATATATATATAAAATTAACAGAAGCAGCTGATTTAGGGGGCATCCTCACCATCAGAAAAAAGCAAACAAACCAACAACAAAAGAAACCTGTACAGGGTGTTTTGCCGGAGTAGGACTCTTAACTGCTTTTTAAATCTACTGTTTGTTTTTTTAATAAATGTGGAGGAACGTTTTTTTTTATAAGCAAACTTTGGGTCGCCAAGATTTTTTTTTTTTTTTTTTTTTTAAATGCTCTGTAGGCTGATTCTGGCACAGTCACTTTTGTCCAGGGGCTCTGCAGAGGCGCTGCCTCGTCCCAGCTTTCCGGGCTGGACGCGACAGCCGCTCAGCAGCGCGTGGTGACAAGGAGCTCCCGGCCAGGGGGAGGTGAGTAATAAATAGATCCAGATGACGAGGAAGTTCTCCGTGTGTCTAGATTGGAAGCGCTGGTAGGTGCCTGCCCGGCTCTCGGGGCTGTGATGCACTCATGAATTATACAATAGAATAAAATACTAGTTGCAGTAAAAGAACCTTTTTCTGGTAGGACCCCATCAGCAAGGCTCCTCCAAACACTCATTTCTAGCGCTTAATCCTTCTGCAGCGGCAGACGCCTCTCCGGCGAGCGGCGACCCCACCCCCCCCCCCTCCCGCCGCTACGAGAGCTGCACCGAAGGCATCGCCGGCCGGCGCGAAACGCGGGAGCGGTTTGTAGACGCGGGTCTTGCCGCGGGGTGCTGTGGGGTCACGATGTACCTGTGCGCAAGACCTTGACGTGTTTTAACTGCTCTTCTGCTCTCTTTGAAACGCGCTGCGGCGAGCGGGCTGCCCTTGCCGGTGGCATCGACCGCGCACTCCCCAGCGGCGGGAGCAGCGGGACTCCTGCCCCAGCTTGGGGCTGCCTGCGGGAGACCTCCCGGTCCCAGGTACCCGCTGCCGGGGTCCCTCGCCACGCAGCCATGGCTGCAGTCGCGGTGGGTGGGACACGGGTCAGTCTCCTTGCTGTTGGTTTGAGCTCCCGTCTCCAGCGGCTCAGTTCTCCGTGGTCCCGGCTCGTCCTCGTCGCAGCTCCCGTAGCTGGGCTGTGGCTGGGTGAGGCGCACCCGAAGGGCCGGGCCGTGGCCGGAGCGGTGACGCCAGCTCCCTGGTGCACACCGGGCTCCTGGCCGATGGGTGCTGTGGGGAAGGCGGTGTCGGATCTCATGTTGGACAGTGGCATCAATAAACAGAGCGATGATGGGATAAGTTGTCGGGACCTGTTAATGCCTTTGCAGAACCAAAGTCCTCGCTGCAGGACTTTCCATGTGTATGAACCCCTCCTAAATTTGTAATTTACAGCCTCTTCCGCACTAGAAAGTGCGCGGAGCTGCTGAGAGCTGCCGGCTGGTCACCGCCGCGGAGAGAAGCGTTTCGGGGCTGCCAGGGCAGGCTCCAGCCAAGGTTCCTGCGTTCCCACTGCCGGGCTGGTGCTTGAAACTCCCTGGGAACAGTTTGGGGTTTCAGATTGTGGCATGCAGTCTGACGTGGCTTAAACATGCTGCGACGGGGCTGATGTCCCGGGAGGGAGGTGCTGGCGTGGGACAGGAGGGCCTGGCTGTCCCGTGCCCCTCGGCAGCTTCCCTGCATCCCCCTCATCAGGACTAAATGCAATTAAGGGGGATAAAGAAATCAAAAGCAGAACTGACTCTGCTTCTCAGCAGCTTGTGTTCATGCTGGCAGTGCCACAGACCTGGCACTGTCCTTTTTTCTTCCTAAAAATGGACGGATTCTGCTTTTTTTTGGCAAAGCAGCCACTTAGGTGCCCATACTAGCGAAGGGGGCCTGGCTGCCCCTCCGCAGTGCCGGGAGCCCTGGGGACGGGCAGCCCCCTCCTTGCCTCAGCGTGGCCAGGCTGGCGGTCCCCACCCTCTGCTCGGTGCCACTGGGCCCCGTGCAGTGACTGCTCTCCTGCTCGCGCTGCTCCTCGCTGGCCACGTCGGTCACTGGACGCCACCAAGATTTAACAACGTCCAGGTGACCTTCAGCGCCCCGAGTGTCAACAGCCTGTCTGCAGCCGCAGCTCCCACACCAGGGCGGGGGGGACACAGCCATCGCGGGCCCCGGCGGGCACCGAGCTCAGGGTGGCAGCGGCGCTGAAAAACCGCAGAGGTGGCGGTGCTGCAGGGCACAAATCTGAGGGCGGCACGTGCTGCGAGCAGCCTCGCCGCCCCGCGAGCTGTCTGCAGGTGATCGGCACCCTCCACTTAATTGCGGGTGGGTTCGTTTGGGGAGTGCTGAACACTGCACAGTCCTCAGCTAAAACACTGCTCAACTAAGGGGGTTAACGGCACCGTCCCGCAGCAGCACCGACTCTTCGAGGGCTCGTGTCCCCGCAGGTTTGGCCCCATCACGTTCACCCAGCCCTCCCTGGCCCAGGGTGCTGGGAGAGCTGGACGTGGCTGCAGCCAGAAGGCAGCAGCCTGGGGACAGGGGACGAGCAGGAGCCACCGCCGTCCCCGCTTGGGTGTGAGGTGGGCAGCGTACCCCCTGGCAGCACCCCAGTGCCGCCTGCACTGCAGCCCAGAGGCTCTGGCCAAGCAGGGAAACCACGCTGTCACCTCGGGATGCTGCAACGACGGTGAACAGGGGGCTGAAAGCATTGTGCCGACCCCACCGCAGCTGCCGGGACGGGACCCACTGTGGTGGGGAAGCAGGCAGCAGGGCGGCAGGGGCTTTTGGCAGGGCACAGCCCATGGCAGGGCAGTAACCACCCGGGGAGGGAGGGTTATTCGACTGCTTTATGGCCAGGGACAGCGCAGCCGCCAGCAGCACTTCAGGGATGCATGGTGCCCCCGAAACCGCTGGGGTCGCTCCTGGGGCCCCAGCTGGCAGCGCAGCAGGGTGGCAGAGGAGCAGAGCCGAGGGCTGCACACGGGGGCTTGGTTCTGGGCACCCACCACCCGCAGGGGCTGAGCCCACCGGCAGCAGCACAGAGGGGACGTGCCCCCGCAGCCTGCAGAGATGCCTGAAGGGGCTTGGGGGGCTACCGGGGGCCCTCTTCTCTTCCCTACGCACCGCTGCTGCCTTCTGGGTGCTTTGGGGCTGGGGCAAGAGCAAAGGAGACATTGGGAGAGCCGCCGGCGGCCATGGGGCGCAGGAATGGAAGCCAGAGCCCCCCTGCCCTGGGGCGGCCGCTCGGTTTGGTGGGATTTCAGGCATGTAGGAAGGGGCCAGCAGCACACAGCGAGGCCACCGGCCCCGGGGAAGCGGCTCACGGACCGGATTACGCTCGGCTCCCGCATGTCACAGCTGCCACGCTGACACAATCCCTTAAACTGCATTAACCCCCAAACCCGGCGGGTGGGAAGCGGCTCCCGCAAGCGTGAGGCCTCGGGAAGGACCCTGCTCTGCACCCCCAACCTGCCCGCAACGGCCTGAGCCGGAGCGCAGCTCCCCAGCACTCCCAGGCACGTTTCAGGTTATAAACGATTAAATTTATTTAAGCAGCCAGAGCAGCCAAGGCGGCTGGCAGCACTGTGCTGAAGCGTGCCGGCTTGCAGCCCTGGGTGCTCAGGAGGGCTCCGACTGCAGCATCCCTTTTTTAAACAATTTATAAAGCAGAGAGGGTGAAAACCCAGCGGCAGGCTCCAGGCTGGGTGTCCCGCGGGGTTCAAGGGGCCTCCCCATCCGGGAGCTGCTGGGCGGTGTGGCTGGAGGGCACGGGCCGGCAGCGGGGTCTGGGAGCAGGGACCGTCTCCCCACCCCGCTGCACCCCACGGCCCGCGCTGGCTCTTGCACCAATGCCCCAGTGCAGGGCGGGATGAAGACTCACGCTCACACACGCACCAGCCCTCCCCGGGCCGCGGCTGCCGGCTGCCGGCGTCATCCCCCCTCCCGTGGGCTGCCCATGGCCACGCGCGCGTGCAGATGCGGGCACACGCACCACACGCAGCGGGGCCCTGGGCTTCCCTGCTCGTTCCTCCCCCGTTTGCACAGGCACGCACACACACACACAACCAAATACGTGTCTGGAGACACGCACACGCAGACATGTGCGCCCATACATGTGCACACACACGCATGCATGCACACAGACACATGGCCACGCACAAATGTGCAGCTGCACATGTACAAAACCATTCACGCTTGCACATGCACACACACAAGCATGCACACACCACGCACATGCACACACCACACACACAGGCAAACAGATGCACACGGACACGTACACCCAGACGTGCCTGTGCGCACACACACACACATGCAGACATGCACACGCATCCACGTGTGCGCACACCAACGTGCAGGCTCGTACCCACACACACAGATACATGTACACCCACAGGTCCGCACACACACACAACATCCATGTGTACGCAGATGCACGTGCGTGCATACGCATACATACGTGCACGTGCCAATGCAAAGGCACACAAGTAACACGCACACACCAACACACATGGCCACACATACGCGTGGGCATGCACACATATATGCACGTGCGTGCACACATATGTGCACAGATGCACTGCCATACATGCACATGCCAACATGCATGCATACAAATACACATACACACTCATGCACACACCAATGCAAAGGCACACATGCACGCACATATGTGCACACACCAACACGCAAGCACACTTGCATGCCTACGTGCACACGGCTGCACACGTGCACACACACGCGTGCGCCAACACACATGCACACGCTTGCATGCATACACACGCGTATGCACATGCCAGCACACCTATACACACACAGAACCACAGAATGGTTTGGGTTGGAAAAGAGCTTTGAGATCCTCGAGTCCAGCTGTTAACCCAGCGCTGCCAAGGCCACCACTAAACCATGTCCCCAAGCACCACATCTCCCCGGCTTTTCAGTCCCTCCAGGGATGGGGACTCAGCCCCTGCCCTGGGCAGCCTGGGCCAGGGCCTGACAGCCCTTTGGGGAAGGGATTTTCCCTAACATCCAACCCAACCCTGCCCTGGCGCAGCTTGAGGCCGTTCCCTCTCGTCCCATCCCTTGTTCCTGGGGAGAAGAGACCGACCCCCCCGGCTCCAGCCTCCTTTCAGGCCGTTGCAGAGAGCGATGAGGGCTCCCCTCAGCCTCCTCCTCTCCAGGCTGAGCCCCCCCAGCTCC